AATTTCTGAGGTATCAAAAAAAATCCAACCATTGGCTTAAGGAATCGATACTGTATCGTATCGCGAGGAAAACTGTGATTTACACCCCTTATAGTCATGATTGATTATTTTACTTTCTGCTTAATTTCCGTTGTGAACTCACAGGTTCACACCTGGTACTTCGTATGAGCACCCGGACAGGGCAGTGGTGCGAGACCCCGGGCCCCTGGACCTCTGCTAGGCCTCTTTCCTGTACTCTTTCACCGGGACTGCTGCAAAGTGACCAGCGTGCGATGATTCACTTGCTGGGGGGGATTTCGATCTCACCGAAATCAAATAAGGTAGGCCGGGGTGCTGAGGCAGTACAGGAAGCCACACGCTACGTCCGTAAACCGCCGGAACTGTTTATCGCAAATTTCACCTTTCGTGATGAATGCCCATCCCTCCAGTTCACACCACACCAGTTGCACATTAAAAATATTACAGCATAGTAGGTGGACTTCAATATATTTATTTTTTTATTTTTTTGCTACTGTAAAATGTGAAAGATGATGCTTATAATCTAAGGTAGCCTGAAAACCTCAGCTTCTGGAAGTAAAAACAATACAGTATATGTAAAAATGTGTGCAATTTGTAACAGCTAATGCCTCTCCACTTCTGATTTTAATTTTTAATTTTTACAATTGGATGTTATGTTAATTTCATATCAATTTCATTTTTGGTAAAATGTGCATTACAAAAAGAATAATTAAAATATTTTAGTGGATGGTTTTACATAATAAACACTATCATTCTGTGTAATGCAACTTACATGCCATTTTCCCCAGTGTACAAATTTCGATAATTGAACTGATATACAAATTAGGTATTAGATGTACAGATTAGGTGTCAGATACGGAACAAATTTCAAATAAGGCAGTAAGTAATACAGTTGGAGGAAACATACGCTGCTAATATAAGCCAGGGGTTAACTTCTCTTATACTGAGTGTTAAAGCGGTTTTATAAAAACATCCGGAAATTACATGAGTATAAATAGACACCTTAATGCACTTACTATTGCATGAAAAATTGCATTTACATTTCATCTGAGGTTACTGACATATGTTGAAGCATGGTGTCCATACTGCAGAAGAAACAGCACTGCCACCTGTAAAGGAGGCTTGTTATCGTGTGAAAACACAGAAGCAGTAAAACCTGTAAAAAAACAGGCATGAATTTTGTTGCTGGCTAAATAATGCAATTCTTGTTGCATTTTTGGGATGCCAAGTAAGTGGTAAGTGGTTAGTCCATCCCCTGTGAGGGACAAGATATCCTTCGAATAAAAAAAATAGCTTTTTGTTGCATGAAATTGGATTGTCATGCTCTCAAAATTACAGACATTGTCAAAAATACAGTCAGCTATCAAAAATTAAATTCTAATTCTATACTACCAAAAAAAAATGAAGCATCATTTATTTATTATGGTGTTGACTGCTTTGTGCTTCTTTGTCAAGGAGTCTACATTAATGCCTCTTAAACACAAACAACCAGTAATTATTTTTTGCAGGAACAGCAGACATATTAAAAGAATAAATTAAAAAGCGGATATCAGGCGTAATGTTAGGGAAGCAGGTTGCTGTGGTGCTTATGGGGGCCGGCTTTTTAGTCAAGGTTGTGGGTTCAATTCCTGGGAGGGGGGATGTGTACACAATAGCTCTTTGTGTTGCATGAAATTGGATTGTTATGCGTGTAAAGAGCAATTTATGCCATACGAGTCCCCCCCCCCCCCAACACCACACAAAGATCATTTCATGCCAAATGATTACATTTCTCAGACCGCTTTTCTAACAAAATTCTGTATCGCCGTCTTCTATATCAATGCCATCGTCTTAAACACAAAAGAAATGCATGTTACAAAAGGCTGAATTCTCACGGCGCCAAAAGTGAATTAATGCTGTGCTTCATTAATGAAGAAACAGAGTCGGCCCGATATTAGGCAGTGATTAAGATGTATCGCTTGCGTAGCTGAGTAATAAGTCACCAAAGTATAATCAAAAGTAAAAATTACATTAGATTATGCTCCCCACTGATTTGCCATTAATTTTGGACCAGTTGGGAAACTGATTTATACTATGCACCCTTTTTATCAAACGGAAGCCCATGCAAGTACAGTAATGCAACAATAAGCTTCTTTGCATATGAAACAGACCCACACCACAGGAGCCAATGAATGAAGGTGCCTTCTGCCATGGCGTGTGGAAACAAAGAAGTAACACTTGATTAGCCCTGTGTGTGGCCACGACTTTATTCAAACTCGTAACGATGTTGAACTGTGAACCAAGTGTTTACCTCTTTACTCCTCAAATAAAGGCAAACATATTTTAAATGGGATCAGCTGATAACATTCTAACTCGTGCAATTCAGGCTTAGACCACTTGATGGCTACAAAAAAATGGACTCTAAAATCAGTAGCTTTTAATTAAGGCCAAATATCATAAATGTTACTGTGGATACATTATCATGTATAACAATAACATTTTTACTTCAATTATGCATAAAATGCTGGCATGTAAACACATTTACACATTTACATTTTGTCCAGTAGCTTAAAAGGATTTGAAAAATTAATAACTATAGCCAATACCATTATGTTAACTGTTTTCTATATTAAATCATCCTATGTAACTTCTTTGCCTATTTTCTACATGATATGTCAGATGTCAGATGTTAGTAAATACCTGCATGAAGGCTTTAGAAAAAAGACTCTTAAATGCATGACACGCATAGGCACAGTGGGATTTTACTGCTTTATTTTTATGGCCAGATATTTACTTTCTTTATAATTATTTGTTTCTTCAATACGATATACTTGATTACACCTATTGTTACAGAAATCCATTCTGCATAGTTCAGACATAATTTTCTCCAGTCATAGTTCATATAACAAGGACTGGAAAAGAAATCATTAGACATAAGGCACAGGCGACATTAGTAAGGGGTGAGATGTGATCTCTTGAGATTTTTTTTAAGGTCACTTCTGTTAAAGGCACAGCTCTGGACAAACCTGAATTAAAAACAAAAACCAATACATGCACCAAAGACACATTTTATAGCATTTCAGATGAAGGTATTATTAAGTCTTATATGGTGGTTATGTGTACACTATAGAGTTACTCAAACACAATGTGTACAGCTAAAATATACAGACAACTGAAAAATATGCGGTTTTAAAAACTGAACCGGATTATTTTGTGCATATTCATTACATGACATATTTTGCATCAGTTCCTCAATCAATAAAACATAACAAGAGAATAATGTTGCATTTCTCCTAAAGAAAAAAATGCAGGGATCTTAGACTGATATAACAATGATCAAATTTCTGTGAAAACCATATTATACCCACCAGTCTTATTAGTAACATATTATTAGTCTTATTCGATTAATTATTCTGCGCATTGTGTGTTATTGGGCCAAAATAAGTGAAAGGTTATTATATTAACAATGTAACACATGTAAAAAATTAATGAACAGTGAAATTTTATCACAACTATTGATGTTGCATGCAAACTGTATGTTAGGATGCCAAACAAAGGAAATGCACAAATAACATACATTGCATGTCACTACATGGATTTACTAGGAGCAATAGGAGGTAAACAAACTATTAAGGTTTAAACGGGGCCACCTGCAGTCTGAGAGCAGCGACTTCACAGATAATCAAAGGCAGAACATTTCAAAGCTACATTCATCTCTGTTCATTATTACTTCTCGTCTGTCTTATTATTTTTCCATGACAAAGTATCTTATTTTATTGCTTTAGGATTGTGGACGGCCTTTAATCTAACAGGCAGACAGAAATGTAGGACTGCTTTATGGGTCCTACAGCAGTACATTAACATCCATTATTTCCAACCTCTCCTTCAGTTTCATTATCACAGCCTTGACAAAGGACAACAACATTGCTGGCTATTGTTTAGAAATAATGCAGCACGATTTGCACAGAATTATTGCTGAATAATTGACTTGGAAATGTAAGGGAATAATTTGTCCAAATAACCCTTTGTTTTGGTAATACTTTTCATTCTCCCACCACACACACACACACACACACTCACAGCCTTTCTGTGCGGAATCAATGCTGCGGAATAGACGTCAGCTCCTTTCTCCGGTGAATGCAGCCCAGGCCTCCCCTAGCAAACAGGATGTACTGCATTAGGCAGGCCCCTCTTCGGCACATACGGCGTTGTCCTGGCAACCATTATGATGCAGTCGATGATGGGGCACACGCTCAGACACAGAGTGCAACCAGTGCAGCTGTCAGTTACCATGGGGAGATGGGTCTCAGGGTCAAACGTAATAGCCTAAAAAAGGAAGCAAAGGCTATTAGATTAGAATTATTAGGTGCTCTGTGGGAGGGTTTGCGGCAAGGGCAGCACCCCCCCCCCCCCACCCCCACCCACAGCAAGCAGGCTATGCATTGCTCTATGCTGCCTCTCTTAATCACACATGGCCTTTTTAACAACCTCTGCACTTAGTCGGGCTTATCTGCAATCACGTGAATAAATAAACATTTCTGTTTATCAGCACAATTCTCATCATTAAACATAAATGTCATTCAAATGTCATCTATCAATACAGGAAAAAACATGATAGTAAAATAATCAGTATCATTGTATGTAATGTCATTATTAATAGGAGGGAAACACCCAGAGTAGTTGCAATCGTACATGCTACATTGTGTTTGGTGGATTGAGGCCTAACTCGAAGGGCAAATATTTGTCTTTACTGGAAGGCAGTGACAGTACACAATTAGTTCTGTGAGCTTTAAAAATCGCAGTGAACAACATAGCTTTGATAGAAATGGACCGGAATTTAAGTATTACAAGTAGCGGACCTAAATTCATCCACAGAACCAAGGACAAAAACAGTGAGACTTCCTTTAGGGGGGGTGGATGCCGACAGTGACTCAAAGATTATGTCACAGTCAGTGATGCAAAGATTATGTCAGAAATATACACTGTGATAATTGTGGCATTTGGCATTCTGTCCAGGATGTGTCCCAGCCTTCTGCCCTATGCTCCAGAGCCGTATGTGGCCCTGATCATGATAAGTGCTTGGGAGATGCACGCATGGAAGGACATTTGTGACGTGAATTAATAAAGTACTGCTGCTGCTTCAAACCATCAGGGTTAGAGGGTGGATTCCAGGCCCGGATCAGCGTGTTGCATGTTTAGAATTGTATGCTCATCTCATGTCCGCACGGACTCCCTCTGCAGCGCTCGCTTTAACTGCCAGCTCAGCGCACAACTGTGTGTTAGTACAGGGTGCTGCCTGCCCCATGACCCATGCCGTCTGGGATGGGGTGTGGAACACCGGGTCACCAACGCAGTTACCAAATGCACAGGGACTGCGGATGATTAGGATCTTGATGTTGGTAGCTGGGAATGTGGTTGGTTTGACAGACCATTGTGTGTGTGTGTGTGTGTCTGGATTATGTGTATATTACATTGTGGAGACCAAATGTCCGCCACAATGTGTAAAAAACCTGTTATTTTGACATTGTGGGGACCATTTTTCAGCTCCCCACAAAGATATTTGACTGCAATTAAAAAACTAAAAATGCCAGAAGTCTCGTATTTTGTTTGGTTACTTATGGTTAAGGTGAGAGTTGGGTAGGAGTTAAGGTCATCATGTCGTGATTAGAGTTTTCCCCATGGAAATGAATAGAGAGTCCCCACAAAGATATAATTATATAATTACAAACCTGTTTGTGTGTCTGTGTGTGTGTGTGTGCGTGCATTTGAGGATGATGCTGCCATCACTGACCCCGAAGGTATGCATGTGTGGAATCCCAATACCTGGTATCCCGAGTCGTTACAAGTCAGGTAGCATTTGCCGCAGTTGATGCACATGTCCTTGTCCACCAGCGCCTGCACTTGCTCCTCGTGGCTGAGCTCCCCGTAAGCCCCAATGTGACTCAGAGCTTTGCCAATGACATCCTAAGAAATGTCTCAGTTTGACAAGGGACCAACCAAAGTTATACTGATACAGCGTTTATCTACAAAGCTCTGTAACCTCAGAAACAAAAAGCTAGCTATCAAACACAATCAAACAACCAAAAAACATTGACGTTATATCATCTGTTACAGAGAAAATGGTACCTGACAAGCCAGAACGTGCAGCAGCAACTTACCTCAACACAAGGGATGGGTTTCTGTGGTTTGTATCTTCTTGGACCCTCTGATTCTGTTGTAACATCAATGTCTTTCAGCTTCTGCTTATAATCTGCTAAGATCTTTTTCTTCTCCACAAGATAAGGGCCAAAACTGGGGAGACTCTGAATTGGGAAAGCAAGGTAAATAATGAAAAAATATACATATTTGTTTCAGATGAATGTCCCATGGTCACATATATAACATTATTATAAAATAATATTTTATGATAAAACAATATTTTTCAACAATAATTATGTTAAAAGGAGTTTCGGGTAATAAGATTATCGTGCTGACATTGACAGAACCTTTGTTAAAATGTAATATGTGAAAATAATGTTCCATTAATGTTACATAAGAACGTTCCCTGCCAGCTTTGAGAAAACCTTCTGGGAACGTTCCCTGTTAGCTGGGAAAATGCTCAACAACTTCATCAAAATTAGCATTTTTCATCAACTGATCGCATATTAAGTTAAATGACCACCAGAACTATATTAATTAATCTGCATTCCAGATTGAAGAATGCTGCTCAGATGTATCTATATATGTGTGTATGTGTATATATTACTGCCTCAGAGGTCATATTGTTTAGGAGTAGTGCCTTGTTGCCTTGTCAAAAATGAATAAGATAAAAAAATATATGTATGTATATATATATATATATGTGTGTGTGTGTGTGTATTTGTGTGTGTGTGTGTGTGTGCGTGTATATATATATATAAATATATATATATAATAAATAAAAATGAATGAATGAATGAATGAATATACATATATAGGTTTATCTGATTTGCATAGACTGAAACACTATAGTACCATGAGTCAACAGACATATATGTCATTAAATTGCTAAACTAAAGACACTATGATGATGCAAACTGTTTTTGTCAGGAAATGTGTGAAATTGATGTTTCTTCTGATGATAAAACTCCTTCAGTTTGAGAAATAGATGATTCTTTGATAATAGACCTCCATCACATTGGAAGTACAAATAGAGAAATTGAAACGGATACAATGTATACGACGCACACATGTTCCCTTCGCACAGAGTTCTGTAAATGGTTCACGAGGAATTGAAAACCCCGAGTACGCGCCGTGCCGCAGGAGCAAACGTGTAGCATAACGTCGACTATAAAGCGAGCCACACAAAGGCCATGTAGACGCTGGAGCTGCTTCTCGCTCCTCCCTCTGAGGTCCACCGTCCTCTACGAGCCGCCTCGATAAAGGCTTTTTGATAAAGACCGAGTCGCACCAATTATCGCTGCGCACAGCTGGAGGCCTGTCAGGCAGAGCGCTCGCGACAATCCTGTAGCGGCAGGGGGATAGGCAGGAACGGGACATTTTGTTTCCTCTACTCCATGCCGTGCCACAGAAGTACTTGCCTGTAGTGATTTCCCCAGATTACCATATTCATGACAGACGAGAGCAAAAGAATTCCGCACCGTTAGCCTGAACATTGAAAAGGAATTAAAGCAAACTGGCAGGCAGTTTGTCTTCCGCATGGAAGATGTGAGAGACGCCTCTCTCCACTGAATGTAAATAGTGGTCTGTGAGGCTAAGAGGGTAAACAAGGAATGCCAAAGTAATTTTGGGAGAAGTACAATATGTATCTCAAAAATGTTTCAAGTTTTCCCTGCTGGATTTTATTAATTCAATTTTTTCTTTCTCAAGAGGTTAAGATTTTAAGTTATCTTACATATACCACAAAAAATGTTAGAAATTATCCCCCAATATCATATATCAAATACCAAGAATATCATTATTTGAAACACTATTTGACAACAGTTTTTGACCTATTAAATTCAAGCTTTTGCCACTTGACACTGTGACTGTGTGCACCTACTTCTCATTCTACTCTTCTTAAAGTTGAGATGGGTAAACTTGTATTTTATATGAATAATCTGAAGATTGATAAGTATGGGGATTTATTAATAATCAAACTTACTTTGTGATTAACCATTATTCATTATGATAAGGCTGTAGGTTAGAGAGTACATCTTGGGCCCGGATCACAGATGTGTATGTGAAAGGTTTTTACGACATTTTCTACTTCTCTGCTTTGTTTCTTATCATAGTTTATAGTTCTCTAACCTTGAGTCTGGCTAAGATATGGTCTTAAGTGGAGCCTCTAGGTCTGAGAAAGTCCTGGGAAACCTATGTGAGCCAAGGAAAGCGCTATTTCAACGCCCCTGTTAAAAACTCTGACAGGCAACCCAGCAGGAGACCTCATGCAATGATAGCTGCCACTGTGACAGCTAAGGTTCCTCTGCCCTCCTTTCTCAACTGGGCATCGCTGGTAGGACAAGTGGAATCTATCCTTCTGGGACTATTGAACAGAGCCGGCTTGCCCAGGCTATGCTCAACAAGAGTCCCACTAGACAGCCTCTGCCACTTGATGCAAAGCATAATTATCATAATTAGCATCATGTCATATCCATTCAAAATGAATAATAAATAAATGTAGTGCGCCTGCTACAGAAGAGACTTTGCAATTTTATTTGCTAGCTATAATTCTGGCGAAGAAATAAATTATAGGTTTCTTGGAGTGTCATAACAAGTGAGTACTTCTGCTTAACTCTGCATGTAAGGTAATTTTCCTATCTGAAAACACGCGCAAAATAATACAATTATGCGTGCGCGGCATCATAACTGATCGATTGATCCGTCTGTCCGTTTGCCTTCGAACTGCTTCGTAGGGAGTTGTGGGGACCCAAGTGCCCATCATAGGCAGAACAGGGTACTAGCCAAGGGTACACAGCAGACTGGATGACAGCCCGACACAGGGCACATACATGGGAACTCAAAACACGGTAATGCCGTTAATTAAATATGGTTCTAAAATTTCCGGTAGCCGACCAAAACCAGTGGAAGATTTTGCTTTCAAATGTGTAACTCAAAAGCTTTCATCTATGATAGAAATAGCCACTTGTGCTGTAATTAAACGAACAATTAAATGCAATAAAATGTTAGACAACAATGAGGTGACATTTAAAAAAAAGCTAAAAATTGGCAGTTACAAACAAAAGCTACAGTCTTGCTGAAATGTGAAGGATTTTTGTCTTTGCGTTTAACAAATTGAAAGCAGCAATGCACATTCTTATGTAATTTCCATACAATACTGCAGAACATACTAGATTTTTGACATCCATAAACACCCACCTGAGGCCCAGGATTTCCCCTGGATCATCTGACGCTCACTCACACAACCCCATTAAGACAAAGCTGCTTCTTGCTTGTTTCGCCTTCTACATGAATGCGACGTATTTGTTGTGTAATAATTAACCACAAGTCCATTCACAGCTGCTGGAGCTGGTGAACTGTGGCTGCTTTAATGAGAGGGATGTGTGGTGCGAGCAAACTGCCAAATCGATGTCTTGAACAGTCAGAGAAGCACTCCTAATTGGATGCAATGTTTTCCCAAACACAAGGCTTGTCAACGGTTTGATTGTTTTTTTTCTGTTTTGTTTTTTTGTTTTGTTTTGTTTTTTTTTTTTTGTTTTTAATTCCCAGAATGGTATATCAGACAGCTTCTATTAGAAAGGCACGGACTGAATTCCTGCTTAAACTCTGCAGAGGAATTGTATCTCCAAACACAAGTAACAAACGTTACAACACACACCATCCTGATCGCTTTGCTAATACTTAATTTACTCAACAGTACATGAGCAATTCCTTTATTTAGGCAAGGCTTTTTTCAGCACATATGTCCTTTGTTGTTCTTCGTGATTCTTCATCCATGTACTATGTTAAAACAAAAATAGCTAGTCTATGTCCATAAAATCCTAAATATAATTTCAAGATTCAACAGAATCTTAGGTTAATAAAGATAATGAAAAAAATCCCTTAATGGTCTTTAAAATTTCACCTTGCCCTGCATTCCAACTGATTGAAAATAAATAGGTAAAATAAATAAACAAATATATAATATGCAATGTGTTACACATGTTAGATTCTTCCAGAACAAGCACGACCCACCATCACAATTCCTACTTAACATGTTCGGAGCGGCACCTTCCCAATAATAAGCTTGAGCATGGCTAACAATCGGACACAATCGCTTTTGGCCCCTTGAGTGAAATAAGGAAGCCGACTAATGGAAGATCCCATTGAGAACTTGAACAATAACTATAAGTCTTGCCTCTGTATGTGCCCACAGGCGAATGCATGCCTGCTCCCCAGGTTCTTTATGCATGCAAAAGCAATTCTGCATTCTCTGAACCAATCTTACCATTTTAAATCTGTTCCAAATTGTCCCATATGTTACAGTGGATAAACAGGACTGTAATTCCTGAGAGTCTCACCAAGTGGATATCAACAAGTTTATATATGCTGGGTGAAGTGTCTTTGTGACTCACAGTAAAATAAAACTTACCAGATTGATTAGCTTTTATCGACATCAATTGGACACACACACACACACACACACACACACATATATACATATATAAACTGAGATGTATTGAAAAATATGGCCTCAATTTGATGACTTTGAATCCTTGATTTTACAAATCAGGAAGAAACATCATAAAAGAAAGTATAACATCATAAAAAAGCTTACAGTATGAGATATGGGCTTATGTTTTAAAGATGACTGTATGCTTTCCAATAGTATTCTCAGGAATACAAAACTTGGTTAGGGCCCAGTTTTGAATAACTCGCTATGCAAAGAATTTAAGGTCTTTCCTCTTCTCCTAAAGCAGAAAACTGCTCTCAGTTCCTCAATCTGTTGGTCTCTTAGAATTATTATTCCTGTTACAGTAACTACAGGAAGTGGATCACACCTGGTTTAGGTTTAATAAATTTGCCCAGCAAACCAAGAGTACTTTCGTTGTATTTAAAGAGTAACAAAGCAAATCCATATATGGAAACAGCACTGACAGATGGGTCTCAGTCTTCTAAGATGCCAGATGGAAGTTGGACAAACATTTGTAGCTATAGCTGTCATCTAAATTGTTGCTGTGGTAATCTCCAACAAACACTATCTAGTTAATTATGGAGAACAAACCCTGCGAACGATAAATAAATAAATATGTCTTGAAATAAATACAGAAACATCATCAAAACAAATAAGTAAGGGGATTCCCATGTGACTCAGCCAGCGGAAGCGTTCATCCGGTGCGTAGTG